ACTTGGACACTGATATTTTTTACTTCAAGCACTGCAGGTGGTTTTTTTATTGTGACGCAGGAAGCATTGCTTCGGTCAGGTCTAGGCGACTGAGTCGTTTTCTTTCTTTTGCTTTCTTTAACATTTGATACAGCAACATTACCGTCGCAGTTTATTCGGCCTTTTTTGATCCAGTTATCCCCGACGTTTTCACAATCTGCATAATTCTGATTTGTGGCTGAGGTCACTTTCACCTTTGAGATGACCAGGTCGCTGCTTTGGGGCTTAAACGACACGTTAACGAAGGACTGTCCATACTGAACTGTGATGTTGTGATTGATCATCATTTTACGATAAACCTTGAACCCTTTCAATATATTGTGAGTAGCTTTCTTGTCAAGGGGTAAAATGACGGTGATTTTCCTTGAAGGATCAGTCATGTTGATGATGTCTCCTTTTTCGTCTCTCACTTCTAGCCCTGCAACATGTGACGTTACCCTCTTGCTTGTTTGGTCCCAGATGAAAGGGTTGAACGGAGTAGTCCACATCTACAAGAGATAAGCATATAAGATAAATGGATGAGCTCCACTAAGCCTCCTTCACTAATTATACCCCCATGGGTTAAGGCCTCAAGCTTCCCAAGTCTTCCCATTCTCCCAAAGACAAACATTAGATTAAAAGTTCAGGGCAAAGTGGTAATTCTGTAATAGTGCCCACTTATACCGTGGTATTGTTTCGCACCTATTTACTTTGATTTTGCCCTTAGTCGCCTAAAGGCCTAACCGCACAGGTAATCCTGCCAGAGCCGCGTAAATAATGACAAATCATTGAAATTAACACTAATTGACCAAATCCTTTGTTTTAGTTCTTCAAATCCTTAGCTTTGAGAGATCGCATGATTTGGAAATAAACTCAATGACTGACTTTTAGTCCTCATCCCTAAATAACGTAACAAATAAAACGTATAAAAGAAAAGTTTTCCTCTACCTCCAGGAACAAAATGCTGCTGTTACTCTCAAACACTCGTCCACGATCCTCGTCCACATAACCGATGTGCTAAAGCGTTTGTGTTTCCCACCGTGGACAACGGTCCTGTCCCAGGCCTCAATCGCTCATATACGTCGTGGTCCACGTTCTCGTCGTCATCGCTAAAGGTCCCATTATTGTGCGCAAGCGGCCCTACATATGTAAGTCTTGTCCTAAGTACCATAGGACTATATTTTCCATCGAGTATGGGGAAAGCATATCACAATGGTTCCCCATAGTTCTTCTTCGCTATTATTTAGATGAATTTGTTGGTAAACTCCATGGAAACAATCAAAGTTCCGCACAGCCATACATTAGAAAAAGAGAGAGCACGAAGGAAAGAGTAACAGAAAATGTCTCTAATACCAAATATAACACTAAACGAGCACTGTTTGCAACAATAAGCCAAGTCGGTAGGGTATCTGGGGCAGCTAATGCAAGCTCTCTTCCAAGAAACTACAGACAATCCCAACATATTAAGGAGAACTTGGGTCTGACTTCAGGAGCATCTGAAAAAAGTGCCAACGACCCTCTAGTGGCAGGGTTGGAACTGCAGAAAAGTACCCTCCCAGGCTTTATCAGGGAGGTAGTGTGTAACGATCTTCCAACCGTCATGCTGTACACTGACAGGCACATGGATAACGTTGTAAAGCTTTGCTGTCATTCTAAGGCTGGGCTAGTTTCTGAACTGACAATTGAAAATGAAAAGAATAGTGTTTAGTGATAAAAGTTCAGATCGAATCAAGGAATGAGCTGAATGAGCATTGTTCACTTGACAATTTTATGTCGGGCTTATAAGTGGAAAACGCTAAAAATTGTACATTGCTTGTTTCATTACCACCATACGTAAATGACATTGGTTGCTGGTACAGAAAATCATATTTTAGAGTCAGCTGTGTATAAAGCAATTATTTTGCATATATTCTTGGGAACAGCAAAAATGACTTAGACTAAACATTCTAAGTATAGCGTTCATTTCGTGCAATGGGGCATAAATAAAAGTTCTGGTAGAAAAGACACTTTATTTCATACACAGATGACAAGCAAAAAGGTCATATGGGTACCCCAGTTGAAAATATATTGATAACTCTATTAATTAATACCAGTTTTAATTTAAAGGAGAAAGTTATGAGAATAAAGTAACAGTTGTCTATATCACGAAGCATGCCTTCACTGTTTAGACTGAGAGTCCTAAAGCTTTTTAAGCATTATTCGAATATTGTATGACGATAAGCACACCACCCTCCCCAATCCGCGCCATACTGTTTTCACCCAGCGGCTGGTCACGTTCATGAGGTAAACATGGCGATCGCTTCCTGATCACCGTTCTTGTCTATCAGAAAATCAAAATACCAGTGTGATATTGTCTCGAAGATGAAGCAGTTATGTTATTTGACTCGTACTTCACATTCGAGTCGAAGCTTGGGTGGCACAGGTTATTTCTTACGGTGGAATCGATGAGGGGAATTCGAACACTAGTTGTAGTGTTTGAATTGTTGGAAGAAATGGTCGCATGGGGATCGTAAGGTTAACGAACAATTTCAAATTTTGTCACTTGAATTCAAAGTAAAGTTCATTTGAATTACTTTCGTATGTATTTCTGACAGTTTTAGATCTACCCGCTTGATTTATATCTGCTACGCTTCACGTTGACAAGTCCCTCAAAATGGCGGCCCAACTTGGAGATTGCCGAAAATTAGGTAAGTTCACAGAGTTATAGTATTTTTGTTAAGGCCGGGCCGCAAAGTTTTTTTTTTGTAGTTACCTTTCCTATGGCACCTACTTCCTAGCTGGATCAGTAAAGAACGCCTCACTTTTTCAAAAATCTACCTTGAAATTGATTGGTTTTCGCGTGTGTGATCTAAGCAAACCGATAAGGTGTCATTCAAGTCTTCCTGTTTGCTTGATTGAAACGTAATGTTCACGAAAGTCACTTCGATGGATAACATAGAGTTAATATACATGGCTGTGGTATTTGTTGTTTGCTGAGTTGTCTTAAATTAGTCTTGAAAAAGTGAAAGGTGAAATTTAATTTCCGTAAAACTCTGAAAAATAAAGAGATCTGATCAAACGGATTGTGGTTTTAGTATAGGTACATGAATGTCTTACAACACACTAGAAATGAGCGAAATCCGTGTCTCAAGCAAAATCGACCGGACCGCTCTAACAGAGACAATCTCTTAACTACTGCCTGTGCAGGCGGGTGGTCATCTATGTTGAATATCCTGGCTCTTGCATCCGTAATTTTACGGCCAATTTTTTCTCTATACCCCAATGTCAATTTTCCATTGCAAACATTGTTACATAGAGTTGTAATGCCAAAGCTATCGCAAGCTAAAGGGAATGATTCAGGATCACTGATTACAGTCGCCCTGGATCCTGTTTTGTCCCAAATCATTTTGTACCACTGAACATAATGATAACCAAACAGTGAGCCATTCTAAAACAACTGTGAACAAACAAATAAGCATGAAACCAAAAACACAGCCGACCCTTCTTGCGTTTCAGAAGAAATCAGAAAGCACTTCCCAAACTCTACCCAGCAGGCCATCTCAGAGAAGAACTTCGAACAGGCTGAATTTGACGACAAACTAAATGGCCAGGGCATTAAGAAGCCTGCATCACCACCATGGGCTCCGACACAGAAAAGGAAATTCATTCCAACGTGGAAACAGGAGTTTCCCTGGCTGGTGTATTCAGAACAAGATAATTCCATGACCTGCAGCATTTGCCTTGAAGCACCAGCTGAGGTGGCCGGAAAGTCACTTTTCCTTTCTGGATGAACTTCTTTTAAAGAGGAAACCATTCAAATTCATGGAACGAGCAATGGTCATTTACAGGCCATGCAAGCCAAGCGTGAATCTGTGTAGTTGTCATCAATCGTGAAAAACCTTTTGGAAAGGGACGAAAGATAAATGGGAAAGAAGTCGAAGGGAAATGGCAGTAAAGTTGAACACTGTCTATTTCTCGGCCAAAGAAGAGTTATCCTTCAGCAAGTTCAAAGAACTCTTGGTGCTTCAAAAGAAGAATTAATTCCACGTATTCAAATGACAAGTCGTGCACAGAAATGTAAGTGATCGGAAAAGTGTGTAAAGACCAGCTTACCAAAGAGGTAATTACATCAGCGTGATGGCTTATGGAGCTACTCATGTTGGTGGGATTGAAAATGAGACCGTGTGCTGTCGTTTTCTGCTTGATGGGAGGTCATTAATTGTTTAGTGGGCCACACAGCAGTTGAACACGCTACTGCAGAAGGTGAATTTAAAATAGTGATTTAGTAACTTCTATTTAATTTTTCAGTCAAAACAGTGACGGTTTGAGCTTTTGAAGTTAAAACTGCAGAAAAAAAGACTTTATGTCCAAGTTTTCAGCTAGAAGAGTGCACCAAATTAAACGATTATAAAACCTTTTCATAACTCAAAACCTCATTGAGACATGACAGAAAGAAATCCCGAAATTTATATGGCCTGGTTTTTGGGTAATTAGATTGTGAACCAATATATTTTCTGGCGATACTTTGTTGTAAGTTTGGCTATTATTGATGTAGTGGTTATTGGTGATATTTTTTCCCAAACATTACACAAATTTATTAACATAAAATAAGTTGCTGTTAGACAGAATATTCATATCATACTGCAGGATTATAATATATTTTATCGTCCAATTTACAAATATGTTTTCTACTTGCATGGGTGCTAACTTCAATAAAAGTTTTGGCATGAAATTTTCAACAGCCGTATCCACAGTATTTATATTCAATACACATTGTCATAAACAAGTTTTCGCGCGTGGGGGCATTTCTAGTGAACACTATTTCTAACTATTATTATTATTATTAATATTATTGTTGTTATTGTTACTGTTGTTGATGATGATTATAATGATGATGTTGTCTTTGATATTGCTATTATTGTAATTTTTAGTGAGACCGGTCTTAATTTGAAATTTGTGTATCATTTCTTTGCTTGATGTATAAGAACTCAGGTAGTTACTGAATGTCTTTTGTATGCTCATCTGATGTGCTTATGACAAAACTTGTGCCAGACATTGCCGACCTCAATCTTTCAGAAACTGATGGCAAATTTGATGTTGAGGATGCTGATGATAGTGCGGATGGTGTTAACAAAAGAACTACTCCTGGTGCGTGCTTGTCCGTATTTTTTTAAGTTTTACAAATAGGTAATGAAAAATGTTTTCCCTTTTATCATGATTTTGGTGATAAACAGATTTCCCGAAGAAAAATTGACTTTTTTACACACGCCCTTCTTTAAGTAGGGAGGCACAGCGGCCTACCAATTAGCGTGCAGGACTCTGGAAAGTCCTGATGCAATTAGAGGGACCCCCACCCTGTGAATGTGCATTAATAATATTCCTACCGTGGACTAGCGCTATATACGTTGATATTCTCCTTATTATGGTGGAATTGTGATTTCTTGAACCTTACCGAGGAAATGAAAGTGATGATAAAGCTGGTGATAGCTGTACCCACAAGCCCCACAACATCAATGGAAAAGGATGTTTCTCCCAGAAGAGGTGAAGATTACATGTAATTTTGACAAGCTAGTTCTTAGTATTTTCTTTAAAAGATTATTACCGCCATCTTTGAGTTTAATGGCAGCGGAAGGCTGGGGAAAGAAAGAAATTTGTATAGAGGGGGCAGTCGATAGTCAAATATAAGGCAAAGGATGGGGGTGGGGAAGTAAAGATTACGCGTAATTATGGCAAGCGAGTGAGATGGGGTTGTTACACGACTACCATATATGGTAAGCATATCAAGACCTCATATGTTCCATTACAAAGCACTTGTTGCCACAAGATTTTGCATTTCTATTCATTGTTTTGCTAATTTTTGCTAGCGCCGTGTTCCTTTTGTGTAAGAGTATTACTGCCAGACTTGGTTACGCCACAAATTGTAAGTTCGTTCCTCTTTCGTGTTACTCTGTCGTTATTCTTGTTGTCATTGTATTTGTACTTAGATATTTGTTTTAATTAATCATTTTTAGTCAAATCACATCGACACATTTACACATCTTTACATCTAAACATTTGTCTATCTAGGAATTAGATTAAACGTGCAGTCATGTGAGGCGTAGAATGTAGTATTAAGCGACATTTCTTTCAAAATTTGCATAGATTGTTTATGGAGAATTTCCGACCTGTCACAGTTCTTCCAGCTGTCTTCGAGATCTTTGAACATCTCATTCATCAATAATTGACAATTTATTCAGAGAATATTTTTCATAATTCTATGTTTGGATACAGAAAATATCATGGTTGCCCAACGGCACCCCTTGCACTCACTGAACAGTGGAAGGAGAATCTTGATAATCACAATATCATCGGCACGATAGCCATTGATTTAAGTAAGGCCTTTGACTGTCTACCATACGACTGAATTCTAGAAAAACTTAAATTCTATGGCTTAAGTGATCATGCGCTATCTCTAATGTGAAGCTATCTCTCTTCTCGCCATCAAAGAGTGAAGCTCGGTACCGCTTTCTCCACGTGGGAAGGGGTGTTAAGAGGAGTCCCTTAAGACCCTTAATGTTACGAATTTATTAATCCTTAAGGATTAATAAATTCGTAACATTAGTTTTGACTAGTATTTTGACTGCGGCGGTAATATTGTAATAATGGTTTTAAATAGTTTTAATCAATACTTGATTCGTGATTTTACCTGATGTATTGTGACATTAGTGCTGTTTCGTTGTTAGGTTTCAATTAGTTGTTGGGTGGAATACCTGTAAACTAGCTCTCAAGTTTAGTGTATATCCACCTTAAATAAAGTATGTATGTATGGATGGCACTGGCGATTTCTTCTCAGAAATGATATTGGAATTGAAAGTGATAGAATTGATGCGGAACACCCGGCTTCAAGGTTTTTGCTGATGACAACAAAGAGCAGTAAGTGTTCAAGTTCCCACTTAAGTGTAAAAATAAAGGAGGTGAAGGTCGATCAGGCGGTTGCTGAGTCATGCTAACAACTAGTAATTGAAAGATTACAATTAAAGGAAAGATGCAATGCTTTACTTTGGCAACAAGAACTTTTAGACGCGCTCAACGACATTGAAACAGCCACACTCAAAGTGCGAATTTTTGAAGCCAGCATTGACAATGAAACTTTTCAAGCTAAAAGAGAAAAGGTTTTCAGTGCACCATTGTTAAAGTCCTTATGACGCCTATTTTTTAGCATTAAATCACAAAAATAGAAGCATGTAGAGGGTGTCTGCTAAGATTTGTGAGTGATTCTGATGCGTCTGTTATTTTACGAGGCGATAAAAGTCCGAAATTGTAGCGAATTTAGGCTTCCCGTACCTCTTCGGCCGTGTGAAAGAGTACTGGTACCCAATTATTCGTGACGTCACGATAGTAAGGCCAAGTTTATCAAAGAAGCAAAGTGAGTGTGGAATCTATTGTTTACGATCTTTTGAGCAAAAAAATGCCATTTCGATGTGTAGTTTGAGGTTGTTTGAATACCCCTGACTCGATGAAGAATATTTCTTTCAACAAGATTCCTTTTGAGGGCGATCAAAGGCTAAGGCTGTCCATAAGTTGCTCGGCAACTTTTGACCAACTTTTCAGATTTGGAGCAACTTTTAGTCCTTCGAGCAACTTTTCGGATTTCGTGCAACTTTTTTCTTTTTTGAATAACTTTCATGCTTTTTAGAGGCAATTTGTAACTAAAAACCGCCCATTCAAGTTCTAATTTAAAGCATCAGTTGCTTGTATGCATGATTTTGCGTAAAATACCTTTTGTAAACACTATTCCCCTGGTGGTCTGCCTGTGGTAGCAGCCGAAGGTGGTCAGCGGATTTGCTGAAAAATTCAAAATGGCGGAGCCGAGTGATTAGAGACCTTAAGCAGCTTCGTCGCGGACGAAGACGAGAACGACCGGAAGTCATATTTTACCTTTTCTTCGGAGTGCGCATGTCTGAAATTTCGTTTTCGTTTTTGTGGCGTTGTCGAGGACGGCAGGTGTCAGTGTTTTTCGTTGTGGTGAGAACGTAAGTAAAGTATCTTTCATTTTGCCGTTAAGTGACGATCGTTCTCATTCTTCCGAACAAGGAACTAATTCTCAAGCAATATTCTTTGTATATTTTGTTCAAGGTTTTGATAATTCTCTAAAATGTTGTTTATTTGACACTTGTAGATGAATGCAATAGACGTACAGCAACCAGCAAGCGCGGGAAAAAACACGTAAGCTCAAGTTGTTTTGGTCTTTTGACAAAGCTGTGCTTTAGAATTTAGCTAGATATGGAATATTATCCCTCATTCAACTGAGCCCTCATTTGTCTCATTCTTACCAGAAATCACCAGATCCGCACATCGCAAATCACACTTCGTTCGGCTTCTTTTGATCACGATATAAAAGCGAACCTTTTTAGCGAAAAGAAGTGTTTCATACCTTTTACTTTTTATTTATTTCCACCGGATATATGAAATACAATTTACACAACCCGCGTGTAGCATTAGCTAATCTTGGAGGGTATCAGTAATAAATAAACATAAATATTAGTCTACAATATTACTACAGCATAAGATTGACATTAGTTCTAAGGTACAAATTATATTGGTATAATAATATAATTGAAACCTCAGCCTTCGATAAACTTAAAAAGTACCTGCCTAATAGTGAGTGTTTCTCCATCTCTAAACTTTTGAACCCTGTTAAAATACTCTGTCACAGACACCACTATTGAGGAGTCTGTTTATTTGTAAGCCTTAATTCACCTGAATTACTTTATTCTTCCCATCACCCTTCTCAGATGTACATGTAACCTTATTTTGTACACCTGTTTTCCCTGTTGGGAGGGTTTGTGTGAGCAAGGGGGTAAAAAAGAGTGAAAATGATAAAAAAACTGGGAATATCATAGCATCAGTAAAGCTTGGGGAGATGCTAGAAGTGTGTCAGAGGTAGAGGGGTGGGGGTAGAGGATAGACAAATTCAACAATATTACACAAAATAATAAGTAATTAAGTGATAAACAGGATGCTAAAAAATATATTTTCAATAGAAAGATCATGGAAGGAATTTTTGGCAAAATCTCCAGAGTTGATTCAGAGTGTGTGAATTTGTTTGCTGGCCACCCTCATTTACCTTGAATTTCCCAGTATATCCTTATAGGAATCACCCCCCCTTAATTTTTTTCCATTCCTGGTAAATCCTTTGTAGTAATGGTCTAAAAATAATGGATCTACCACTGAAGCTGTCAAAGTAATTTTTGGCTTGTGTCGTTTTTCATAGAACCAACTTTGTCTGGACAAAGGACCATGACATCTTGTTTTGTAGAGAGCTTTTGGTTACTGAGCCATATGCCCACAAAGTTAGAAGTGTTGAAAGAGCAAAAGCCTGGGAGCAGATTGCCTCCAGTTTAAATAGCATCCAAGCTCCAAAGTTTAGAGTTACAACTAGATCCGTACGTGATCGCTACACACTTCTGACAACCAGAAAAGCAGAGCAGTTAAGAGAGGAGGAGAAAGCTTCAGGGATAGAAGTTACACCAACAGAAATTGACTTGTTATTGGAAGAAATTTTGGAGAAAGAGAAAGCTGCTAGAGCTGAGATTGAGTCTGGAGATACCAAAAAGAGAAAAGCAGAGCAAGACAAGGCAGGTGCTGACAACATTAGAAGACTGGCAATGGAAAGGATGTCTCAGACTAAAACCAGGGAAAGTGATGTGGGAGAAACTTCTTCAAAGAAGAAAAAAACAAGGCGCAGCTCACATGAGATGCTTGAATTTCTGGAGAACAAATCTGAGAGGGACCACCAAATGAAACAAGAAGAACTAAATTTAAGAAGGAGTGAGCAAGAAGCAATGACTGCTATGATGAGACAGCAACAGCAGCAACTTCAGAATTTGCAGGCTATGTTTGTAAGCCAGCAAACACAGCAAACACAAGCTATGTTGGCTCTCCTAGAAAAAGTTGTTAAGAAGTAAAGGTGACAAGGGTTTTTTCCTTGTCCCAACTTGTTGTCATTCAAAAGCCTTCATAATTATATCACTTTGTAAGGCATTGTTTATTTACAATTTGTTTGGTAGTTTTTGTTACAGTGTACTTCTGACATTAGGTACTTTCCTATTTAATGTAAACAAAATGCTAATGGCCTGCTGTTGCCTATATACTTGTGTTAGTTACGTCACATCATGTTGTGATGCTGTAAAAAAACATTATTAAAGTTGTTTAGTCTGACTGGCTTCTGTACATTTGTGACATTCAGGCAAAATAATCATGAAGTGAGGGTGGGTCTAATTCAAAAAACTTGGAAGTTTAATTTCCATACAGGCATGTAAGTGCATTTCTCAGAATTGCACAGACAATATACATCTTGCCAATACTACTCAAGCCTATTTTAAGATTTTTTTTTTAAGTCTATGAATTTAAAGTAGTTCACTATGTCCCCAAATAGCCATTCAACGGATTCCCTCACAGAACTCATTCTGGCATTGTACTCTTGCATCTGGGGTGTTAAAACAGCATTTCTGAATGGTTGTTGGAGTTGCACTCTGTGCGGGTAAGCTGGATCACCATATAAGCACATTAGGTGGCCATGGGGGGAAACTGCATGGTGCTGGAGATCTTGCAGCAAGCCTGATTCAGCTAACATAGCTGCATCATGTCTTCTACCTTCTGAAAATGAAAGGTTTAGAAAACAATTAGATGCGTGGACAATGGTTGTGACCTTGTGGTGCATACTCAGTAGAGAACCTGATGGAAATTTAAGTTCTTTGCAAAAGAATTCATTCAACATTCTAATCTGCAAAATAATATCTCTGAAGAGATCAATCAACTCCACTTGATGGGACTTTTTCAGTACTTGATTCCTGATTTTTACTCTTTTTGACCTTTTTTTCAGGGGTCGGTTCCTGAAAGGTGGAATAACTCTATTCCAGGGATAAGTCTGCCTTATTCCAGTCATAACTTTATCCCAGGACAAAGTTATGACTGGAATAAGACAGTTTTATCCCTGGATAGTGTTGTTCCACCTTTCAGGAACCAGCTTTTGAATTTTTTGCCATCTTAAGTTTTTTTATTTTCTTCATCTTTCTATTTATTTTTCAGGGTTATTTTTAATTAACAATTTTAAACTGAAGTGACTACCATGCATAAATAATTCCATACATTATTATAATTATTATTACCTATTGGGCCATATAGGTTTCCTATTAACCCATTCGGTAGAGCAACAGATTGAAATTTTAATGCATGGACTCTCTTGTGTCCATTGTATACAGCCCTCTGGTGCTGTCCTGGGCGACTTATTGGTCGAACCGTGCCATAGACAAAACCAAAACAGTTGTCCAAGGGAGAGCCTTTAGCTGAAATTACGTCTGCATATTGCTGCAAATGGTTGGGGTCCATAACTTGATTGTTCCACTGAGTTAGTCTGTGGCCATGCCTGTCATATACATAATCGAGAACAGTATTTGTTATCATGCTTAAGACCGGAACTGGCCTTGCAAATCTGTGCACCATATCACTGTATCGACAGGGGTAAGCCAGTCGCTTCAGTAGCATACATAGCCCTTCTATGCCATCGCAAACGGAACGCTGTGGGCACTGGAATGTTGGGGGAATCTGTAGCCTGTCTGCCAGCAAGGGAATGTGCCATTTCTCGACTCGAAACTCGGTATAACACTCAGCAGGATCCATTTCCCCCAAATCGAACGACGCGTACGAGTTGTAAGGAAAATCCGGATTCTTCGACTGATAAAAGTCATAGAGAAGGCAGAATTCTTCGTCATCAAACATGTCGTGGGCATATCCAACAAAAACAAAATCCCTGATGTCTTTAAACAACGACATAACTAAAACCACCACTTGTTGAGCCTTCGTCTTTGTACAAGACGCGGGTGCTTAACTTTCAATTTTCGCGCCGAAAACGATGTTCTCGTCCCAGTGTCCTAGAGCATGCCACGTCATAATTTCGTTCTCGTTTTCGTCCTCGACGAAGCTGCTTAAGGTCCCTATTATCTATGCTCGAGCTCGAGTGAAGATGATGAGTATTCAGATCCTTTAGAAGTAGCAGCTAGTGCTGGAGCTAGATTAAGTACTCCAGAAAAAGCCAGTATCTCTCGGAAAAGAAAAGTGCAGACTAATCCAGCCGAAAAGAAGAGTAATGTGCGTGGATCAGTCGATCCAAATGTGTCCGCGTGGGAAAGAGTGAACGAGTTTAAAGACCAGTGCCTAACTACAGTGTCGGGAAATCTAAGATGTGACGCCTGCAGAGAAACTCTTTCCAAAAAAAATAGTTCTGTCAAGAAACACGTATCATCCATAAAGCACATCAAAGCGCTGGAGAATATTAAGAAAAGCAAGAAGAAAGATCAAAATATCAAGGATCTTCTTGCAAAAATAAGCGGAGGAGCAAAAGGATCCACATTACCTGAAGACATGAGGCTCTATCGATATGAGCTTGTGGAAGCTCTACTGAAGGCAGGTATTCCACTTTTAAAAGTCGACAGTTCGCGACCATTTCTTGAAAAATATGCTCATCGCTTGACATCTCGGAACCATCTAGCAGCATTCATTCCCATGATTCGTCAGAAGGAGATAGACTTTGTGAAATCCGAAATAGCTGCCAAAAGTGCTTTTTCTGTGATCTTTGACGGGAGCACCAGACTTGGAGAAGCGTTGGCAATTATCGTTCGCTTCATTGACAAAGATTGGAATATACAGCAGAGGCTTCTCAAATTAGAAATTCTAGCCAAGAGCATGAATGCGGAAGAGCTTGGTCAAAGGCTGATTCAGTGCCTGGCTGTGGAGTATGGAATGCAACCAAACCATCTTCTAGCAGCAATGAGAGATGGTGCATCAGTAAATGAAGCTGGATTGCGTCAAGTCATGTTTTTCTTCCCCAATATTCTTAATGTCATCTGTTTCTCACACACAATCGATGATGTTGGGAAACACTTTGAATTTGGTGTCTTAGACACATTTTCTAGGTGTTGGAACACCATGTTTTCTCTCAGTCCAGCTGTTCGGCTGTTGTGGACGACAAGAACTGGCACAGCAATGCGACTTCATTCCAAAACCAGATGGTGGAGCAAATGGGAAGTCCTCAATCAGGTTATGGAGTTTTTTGAGGATGTTGAGCCCTTTCTAAGAGAAAATGATAACCTGTCTCCCGTTTGCCGTGCAAGCCTGTTGGAGATTTTTGATGATCCAGCTACTGCTAAAGACTTAGACATTGAGCCTGCTGCTATGATTGATGCGGGCAAGCACTTTTTTCAAACAACTTATTATCTTGAGGGGGATGGTCCCTTAGTATTTACTTGCTGTGAGCGTTTGTCCACATTAGCACATGCAATAGCCATTGAATCTTATTCAAACACTGAGGCCAAAGCTCGCCAACATGCAGGTAGAAATATGGCATTGTACAACCAGATAGTTGCTCAAGCAAAGGCATGTATCAATCCAGGCTTCCGTTTTTACCAACAGAAATTCAGTGTGCAATTCCATAATATTGTCGTGAGCGTTTGTCCGCATTTGCACATGCAATAGCCATTGAATCTTATTCAAACACTAAGGCCAAAGCTCACCAACATGCAGGTAGAAATATGGCATTATACAACCAGATAGTTGCTCAAGCAAAGGCATGTATCAATCCAGGCTTCCGTTTTTACCAACAGAAATTCAGTGTGCAATTCCATAATATTGTCCGTGCATTTAAGGCTGCACGCTTATGCTGCCCAATACAGGTGCAAGCACTACATCCAACTGCTGCATCAGTCCAGGAACTAAAGCAATTTAGTTTCATTACTGATGCAGAACTTGTACAGCTTGTGGAAGAGCGGCCAAACTATCTTGCCATTGCTGATGGTGCAACCATTGAAACAGAGGAAGGCAAAGTACAGTGGTGGGCTACACATGCCGCTGCTCTCCCAAATTGGTCTGCTGCAGTCAAAAAGATCTTGTTGGTGCAGCCTAGCTCAGCATCAGCTGAACGAGTGTTTAGCCTGCTGCAAAATGCATTTAGCAAGCAGCAAGAGGCAGCATTAGAGGAAACAGTGGAAACATCGGTCATGTTACGTTACAATGACAATAAGCGCACATGAAATCTTGAATTATATGTCTGTAGAGGACTAGCTGGTGGAGCAAAACATTGACCAACAGGGACAGTGCTCTGTACTACATCCGCAAAGATGTAAATATTGAAAGACTATGGTTTTAAACCACATACACTCGTGTATGCCAGAGAAACTTTATATATTAAATAAGCATATTAGCAAAGTTTGTTTTGTTCGAATACAATCACGTGATTATCGTAATAGAAAGCCAATGCAGAGAATCAGATTTTTATGATTTGGGTTGAGAGAGACTCAGTCTTACAATATTGATGAGTCAGTATGATATAATTATGTATATAATATCTATGCAAAGTGAAATCTATTCATTAAATCTTTATTTAAGTTGTTAATCAATCTCTGACACCACAAAATTGAAAGCAACTTTTGAGCAACTTTTGGATTTTGGGGCAACTTTTGAGCAACTTTTAGAGTTTTGGAGCAACTTTTGAGCAACTTTTTGAGAAAATTGGAGCAACTTGTGGACAGCCCTATCAAAGGCAAGAGGCTGAGAAAAGGCGAAAGCGGTGGATTCAGTTCGTGAGCGCGAAGCACGCTAAGTGGGCACCGACTTTGAACTCACAGATATGTTCAATGCATTTCAAGCCGGAGGATTTCTCAATGAGATTCCCTGTTCTTTCGGAAGTTAAGCTATCTTTTGTGCCACAGCTTATTGTGGATGACATTAGTATCGCTGTTGTTCCATCGATCCAATGTGCAGTTTCTAGCACCTCTACTAGCAGCACCTCCTCAAGCGTCAGCACGAAGTCAAAAAGAGATTTTTGTTTTCTCTGCACATTTCTGTACGAAAGATATGAAGTCCTATTTTCATCATTCATTCCCTAGTTCCTAAAAAATGTCTTGGCCGCAAC